GTGCCTCACACTTGGCTCCTGCGACATCTTAGCTGGACCTCCAATATGGTAGCAGCCTTATTGGGGGTGCTGTAGACAGCTACTCCTTTGCAGTCTCCGCAGGGAATGAGTGAATCAAGGTAGCATGACACATTTGAAAGGCTGCAGCCTGTTCTTCTGAGGAGGAGATGGAAGAAAGGAGAAGTAAGTTCCACCACACATAGTCAGACAAAATGAGAGCAAAACGTGAAATGAAGCTGTAAAATTACTGTTGCAGTCTACAGACTTCCAGGTTCTTTGTGTAGGTGGCGCAGTGCTGACTATGTGAGCAATCCTGTCCCCTACAATTAGGGCGAACTCGTAGTTTGCTAGCTTTTTAATATGTCTCATTTGATTCTCACCCCAGCTCTGTGAGCTAGTCTGAAAAAGTGGAACCATGTTCATTTTGAATACAGGGAAGTTGAGGAGGATTGCAAAAAAAATACTCAGGTAAAAAGTGAAGGAACTAGGACTTAGCCAGCTAGGACTTCAAATCCTACATTCTTTCTGCTCTGCCACAGAAATGTAAAGGTTTTGAAAAATTTTCATGCCTTATGTCTTTTCTATATACTTTTTGTTAGTTTCATATGTAATGTGCTTTACTGACTAAACATTATTTCTTTTAAAGTCCTGAAAATCATCTTCTTTATGGTAACCGAGCTCTTTGTTTTCTTCGCACTGGACAGTTCAGGTCAGTTGGTTAGAGTCCCCTCATCATTGAACTATTATGCTAACTACCTATTTTTGAGAAATATTTCTGTTTTGCAGGTATGCAAGAAAATCCTTAAGTAGTTCTTTGGCAGAAATAGTTTAATGGTTAAAAGAGAGCTCTAAGCTATGTGTGTAATAACAACAGTGACAGCAGCAGCTATTCTGATTGAGTGGAGCAGTATTTTAAGTACTTTACATATGCCGTGTAATTCTCCCAGCACCTTTAATAGATACATGTTATTCTCCACGTTTACATTTGGACAGACCCGTACCAGTAGTGAGTAGTGATACCAGCATTTTGAACACAGAGTCTTATCTGATGATATTAAAGTCTGTGTTTCTAACACCTATAATATATTACCTCCTTTTGCTCAATTATGTAGTTCTGGAAGAAGAATTTTTGCTGTATTTGTTACATCTGTTTATCCTGGTATGAATGTATTAAGTAAATGTCCTTCATAAATGAAAGAAAGATTTAATGGTTTAATTATGAGTGAAATCATAATTCTTAGTTCCTTATGTTGAACTGAGTTTTTACTTATTAGTTGAGAAAGATTGTTGCCACTGTACCATGATTTTGTCCCTCAGTTTAAAATCCTTAGGCATAAATTATAAGCATTAATGTTGAGCGGCATAGGCTATCATACCTAATTTATGTCCTGCCTTACTGTAAGAAGGGTTTAGGGTGGCTTCAAGCATACATCCACTCAGTTATAGAATAGTCAAAACAAAACAACTAAAAGAACCAGGGTAGAGCCTGAGATTCTCAGAAGAAAGGAGCAGAGGCCTGAGGTCCTGCTTAGTTATTAATTATAATCCATATTTGCGTCTGACCTTTCTGTTGCCCAAAATAAAAAGAGAAAACCTGAGAAATTACATGATTCTGTCCATGAAGAAAGAGGACACCAGTTGCTCAGGTAAAACTTTTCCTGGTGTTTAGTTCTGGAAGAAATTTCTTAAATGGCTTTCAAGTGATAAGATTTGAGGGCTGGAGGGAGTAGAGGAGAACCTCAGCAGCACTCCTGTTCGTAGCAAAAATCTCCCTGACAGAGTTTCACAAATAATTTTTTTCGTGACATGTCATGATAGTAGATAGTCTAATGTCAGTTGTTTTTCGTTGAAAACAGTGTTGGGATATGGGAGGGTGGGGATGGGGAAGATGGTATGTTCCAAGTTTGTAGCTTTGAAAAGTAACATTTTTTATGTTTTTCTTTTATCATAAACAGAAAGCATTCCCATGGTAGAAAATTTGGAAAATACAAGAGTTTAAAAGAGAAGAAAATAAAAACCACCAGTAATCCAACACCTCGGAGAATACCGCTGTATTAACGTTATGCAGCTTTTAGATGGCTTAAGCCGTGGATAACCGAGGCTGTCTAGACTAGAGGAATGGATGGGCTTGACAGTCTCCCACCAGTACCACTATCCTCGCCTGGTTCTCGCAAGGAATGAGCTGCAAATGTCTTTAGGTTATTGCCTCGCTAGGTCCAGAATTGCAGATATATCTTATGCTGTTTGAAGGTGAATCTGTGCTTTCAACCTGAGTAGGTTGGCCGCTTGCAAAAGTCGAGGCGCCTGTCTGAAACCTCGAGTGGGCAGAAGGTCATTCATTCTGCATAGGGGCGCTCCAAGAGCTAAGGCAAACCAGGGTGTTTCTGCGCTCTCGTGAGTGTTGAATGCTAGACACTGAAGGAGGATCCTTCTAAAACTCTGCTGCAAAGGATATGTATCCAGGTAGAAATACAGAAGCCAGCTAGCCCGGTGAAATGAAGGTCAAGGGCAGCGTTGTGCATCTATCCTTGTACTTCCTTCTTGACGGTCTGGCTTGTGGTTCAGCACCACTGAGGTTTTCAGTAGAAGCAGGTCAGCAGCATTTCCTTCGGAGGCAGTCACCAGGATGTTTAGGATGCCTATCACTGTCAGAAGCCTTATGTCACCCTGGTTTTTCTGGTGTTTCCCACCTTCTCACACATGGTTTATATGACTTTCTTAGTATCATAGGGATAATGTTTTCTGAGACCACAGCACATATAACTCCCGACCAAGAGAGTAAATGATGTGGCTTCAGAAAATAACACGTTGCCTGTAATTCAGGAGTGCCACTGACACAGGAGGACACATGTCCTTTAGCTGAGTCACCAGGGTTGAGGTCTTTTGGTGCTCTTACATCTGAGGGTTGGTAGAGCTGTCATGGGACTCTGGCTGAGCATCTCTGGAACAGACGGGGCTAAAGCATCCCAGTTTCCTGGCACTTCATGCATATTAACTCACAAAAACCTCATAACCTTGTGAGGTAGGTGCTGCTCTCCATTGCTGAGGAAGTAGGAATGGGGAGGTCAAGCAAAGTGTCATCGAACAGTAGGTGGGTGTGATAAAGCCAGAATTCAAACCCAGGCGGCCCGGATGTAGAGTTTCTACTGTTAATCACTGTGGGAAGATGGTGGTAGAATCAAAGGGCAGTGCGAAAGCTGGAAAAAAAATTAATGGTCTAAATAGTCAATAAATATGATCATCTTTACGGGACATGCAGGTTAAAAATTACAAGTCTCTTTCATACCTATCACATTGGCAAAAATTTAAATAAACTCATTATTCAAGTGTTTGAGAGGATGCGGGACAAAGGAAACTTTCATACTCAGCTGGAGAAGTGTAAATTGGTGCCATCACTCTGGAGAGCAATTGGCAAGGTGAAGATGCGTGCTCTACAGCCCCCGCCCAACTCAAACGTGTACCCGAGAAGATGCGTGCCAGGCTTCTCTGTAGCGTCGCTCATAAGGGTACAGAACTGAAACAACCTAAATGTCCATCAGTAAGGGAATGGATAAATAAATCATGGTATATTCATACAGTGGAATTCTGTGCAGCAGTTAAAGTGAATGCAGTGTCGAATGAAAAAGCAAGTTGCGGAATTTGTTGCCATTCATATAATTAAAAATATGCAAAATGATATGCATATCCATAATTAATATGTGTTAAAAAATGTTATAAAATACATGGGCGTGTTAAAACCAGATGAGTGGCTGTCTCTGGGGAGGGAAGGAGATGGGAAAGTGGTACCCAGTAGATGTCAACTGTAACAAACTTCTGCAAAAAGGTCTGAAGTAAATGTGGCAAAATGTTAAGCTTTTGATAAGCTGGTACATGGGTGTTCATTATGTTGATATTATTCTCTGTACTTTTATGCACACTCAGAATATTTGCTAAAAAGCAACACTATAATTAAAACTACATATGATAAGATGGGAAAAAAACCAGTGATCACTAAGTATCAGGGATAAAGTGAGTGAAAAATAATCTTGAAAGGAGAGAAACATAAGTACTTAAGTCCAATGGTGGGGTACCTGAGGTGATGTATGTGTGTGGAAAATGCTTCATTCAGAAATGGTCACGGTGGTGGAAGTTTTAAATGTCAAAGTCACACAGTTTGTAAATCAGTCCACCTTTGGGTGAATATAGGTGAGTTCATGAGCCAATCAGAACCCTTATCGTGCGCCAGCAGTCTGCCAACCTTACATTTGGGAAATAATGGGAAACACGGGAGCGGGTTTGGAGCGAGCAGGCGGGTGGAAATGTGCCACTGTCTGCGGCAGCTTCTCCCTGCCATGTCCTGCAGCTGAGGAACGTCCAGTGCGTTCCGGAACCTGGCTCAGATGAGATGTGCTCGTACTCTCGTCTGCTAGAAGTTCACTTTTCAAATACTGTTTGGTGGTTAAGGGCATTTTGAGTGATAATTGTAATAGAAGTTATTCGAAACTTCGATGTTAGAGGAAAATCTAGAAAAAGGAATTAGGCATATCTATAGCTTCTCTAGAAGTTATATGATTAGGCTCTGCTTGCTTATTTAATTCATTCTTGTGGGACTCACATGCAGAAAAACCGAATTCTTTGGTGGGATGTGATAAACTGGTGGAGAGGGTGTAATTGGAGAAAGGGAAAGCTTACCCTTGGATGTTTTTTGAATTTACTTTGGAAAATTATGGAATTTTTAAACTTGGTATTTGCTTTGACCTTTTAGTATTTAATTATCCATCATATAATAGTCCCTTCTGTTAGATCCATCTTGTGATTAATAGTGGGCAGATAGAGTTTAAAACCCCTGTCTATTTTTTTCTGAGTTTCTCTGAGGCTAGAGGTATGAATCAACTCAGTTGTATGTTCTGTGAGAATTTAAAAATCCTCGTGTGTGTGGGCGCATTAGTGTGAGTGTAGTGGTTTGATGAGTTATTTATTCAGTCTGCTCACTTCACTCCTGCAGTGTCTTCATTTTCACTGATTTTGCTTTTGAAGAAAACATTTGTTTTTTTCAGTCTTCCTTGGCGTGCACCCCCTTAAAAACGCACATTGGAAAAAGTTGAGTGAAAAAGGATAAACTGAAAACTGTTGCCCAGCCGAGACCCCTACCTTGATTCTGTCTTCAGATGCTTGCGTATTTCTCTAATATTTCATGCCTGTGCAGGCACTTGGTGTGTCAAACCAAATGCAGTTGCTGTGTTTATAAATCAATTTAGGGAGCTTCGTGTGGTTCGAGGTAATGTATGTATGTATGTTTCTTAACATGGGTAGGAGCATACTATACACATCATTGTACATGCTGCTTTTTTACGTTTAAATATTGGAGCATGTTGCATATCAGTGTAAGTGAAGACCTACCCTTATTCAAGGCTGCAGTCTTTTACTCAGTGGATTACGTGTGCTTTAGTTTGTATTAGAATGTAGATAATTTCCAGATTAAAAAATTATGTGTAGCTCTGTAATGATTATCCTTTTACTTATGTTGTATACTCAGGTGCAAGTATATCTGTAGGATAAATTCCTGATGAATTTTTTTAACTTGGATTGAGAGAGCATATATAATTTAAATTTCTGACACTAACTTTTGATTTTAAATGTTTATGTTTATTCAGTCGGTGTTTTTTTAGTCACTGTGTGTTTGGTAGTGAGTGACCAGCCATCACATCTGAATCCTGCTTTCGTTGCATT